AATTAATTCAAATTAATAATGTACAATTCATTTTATCTATTAAAAATTATGCGCATGAAAGGGACTCGCAAACATACACATATTTTTTGTTTAATAATTAATTCATTATCTAAAGTAAATAAGACTACAATCGTGCATGCTTTGCTTTTTTTATCAGTATTTACTTTACCGAAATGAATGAATCGTTAATACCGAAAAGCTCATTTTTAAATCGTTCTTATCAAAGCAGACAATACTGCCACGCGGTTCCTGTTTTTTCCTACATTACGTCATGATATCTATTAATACAATGTAATTATCACCTCGAAGGGTCTTCATTGTTCTTGTCTTGATTTATTACGCCATTTATGGCTTCTCCGCAAGACATACGTATATTGTAGATTTAAACGCGATTTATCAAATTGGATTAACATTTTTAAAACATGCGAAAGCGCCAGGCGATGGTAAATAAGCAGTTAAATGTACCTAATCATTTAAATACATAAAAAAATGATTCAATGTTTTTCCCTTTTAAAGTTCTACCTGAAGACGAAAAATAAATTCGAAGCTGTATTAAATTTAACAACCGGTTTTTATATATATGTATACCTGATGACTGTGGGAAATTTTCAAGGAATGACAATGTAAAGTTATTCTAACAATTTTTATTTGCTAATTTACCGACATCACCAGCGTAATATTACTAAATCAAACGAACTTACCTGTAATGAAGTTCGATTGTAATTATATGAAGTCCTCGTGAAGTAAATAAGAACAAGCGTAGTTTCCCTATCTCACACCGCACACCACGAATTTTTAAAGTAAACAACCCGCGTGCTACCCCGCTTAACCCGTACCTTCGTTGGTCTAGTACCTACCTCATCCAGCTCATTATTTAAAGACCTGTCTGCAGTTGTTGCAATTATAAAAAGGGTAAGAAGGTAATACAGGGAGGGAGGGTCTTATTTACTTCACGAGGACTTCATATAATTACAATCGAACTTCATTACAGGTAAGTTCGTTTGATTTAGTAATTATATTTCGTCCTCGTTCGTAAATAAGAACAAGCGTAGATGTTTAAAGATAAATAATTGTTCAACTGCAGACGAACAATCCAAGGAAAAAGAAAAAAATATATATATATAGTTATATTCAGATGTTTATACACTGTAAGATAAAAAAGAAAACGTTAAATCTGAGTAATATGAAACATGAAACAAAAGTAAACGAAAAACAGAACATTATTAAACTAAGAACATCTAACAGTAGAGCATTAAGAAATTAATATTAAGGTTTATAACATAATAAACACATAGTTGTGTCATTGTAATATGGCTCTTGCAAACGCATAAGAGTCACAAACAGGTCTCTTATAAAAGGCGGCAAAGGTCTTTGAATGTTCTGTCCAGCCAGCCGCTAATCTAATTGTATCTAATGATATGCCTTTACGATCTGCTAAGGACGTTGATGCATGTCGCGTAGAGTGCGAAGAATATACCGTAGATTCAATTCCGGCCATAACCATAACTTTTCGAATCCATCGTGAAATTGTCTGTGTTGAAGCATTATGGTAGGGTTTTTTAAACGTTACTAAAAGTTTATTACAGGCCGAGTTTCTTATGGCTCTTGTTGAATTTATGTAAAATAAGAGAGTAGTAGCAACACAAACGGCCTCTTCGTCTTTATAAAACGGTAATGAAATAATAGGCTGTGTTCGATTTGGAGCCGACGTTTTAATAAGATCACGAATAAAAATTTGTACTCCAAGGGAGGAAATTTTTATATCCTTAAGTTCAATAAGTGAAAGTGTCTGGACTCTCTGCGCCGAAACAAGAGCTAATAACATGGCTAATTTATAAGAAAGCTGTTCTAAAGATATGTTTTCGTTAATTTGACTTCTTAAATAATTTAATACAAGTGAAGGATCCCAGGTATTGTCGTACTTAGGTAGACTGGGTTTTAAATGAAAAACCCCCTTAAAGAAACGTTTTACTCGGACGTCTTCAGCAAGTGAGGGTCCTAAAAGCTGGGCTACGGCAGACCTATAGCAGTTGAGTGTACCATAAGATACACCCCTATTATACTGTTCTTGCAAAAATTCTAGGACGTTTGGAGTTGATGCAGTAAAGCAACTCTCGTTCCTTGATTGACAGTATCTATACCACAGCTTTAAACCTGTGTTATATTGCTTGATAGTAGACGAAGTAATGGACGCTAAACAGACCTCGATCGCTGTTTTAGGGGTTCCTCTTAATTCTAGGCTTTTCCGGATAAGAGCCCTGCAACCAGGATAAGCTGTGACCATAACGGATGCGGCTGAGACCTGTTCAAACCAAAAAGTAAGTCTTTGCTCGCTTGGAAATAAAGGGGAGGCATCTTCAAAAGCGATGTAAAGATGGGGTACCAGGGCTGTGTAGGCCAATAAGGTACCACTACAATACCTTCAGCCCTGTCACTAATAATTTTTTGTACTACTTTCAAAATTATTGAAAAAGGAGGAAAGGCGTAAAATTGAAAATCTCTCCAATTAAGAGTAAAGGCATCTACTCTAAACGCATATGGGTCAGGATGCCAGGAAACGAATACTGGACATTTAGCATTAATCCGAGTTGCAAAAAGGTCTATCTGAGGTAATCCAATTTTCAATTTTATTTGTTGGTAATATTTATTGTTTAACTCCCATTCAGTTTCAAAATGTAACTTACGTGATTCAGTGTCTGCGATCAGGTTGTGTTTAGTATTAATGTAAGAAGCAAAAATGGAGAGATTTTTTCCCTCACACCACTGCCAAATTTCTCGACAAAGAGTGTTCAGTTTAGGATATTGGATACCCCCCATTCTATTTATATAAGAAATAGCCGTAGTGTTATCAATTCGCAAAAGAATATTTTTATTATTAAGGTTACTAGCACAGCATTTTAACCCAAAAAACGCTGCCTTTAATTCTAAATAATTTATGTGTTCCTTTTTCTCCTCTAAGGACCAAAACCCATGAGACCTGACGTTAACACAGTATACACCCCAACCTGTTAAGGACGCATCCGAAAAAATTTCTAGATGGAAAACATCTAGTTTAATAGAATTTGAACTATTTTCTATGTGCGATAACCACCATCTGAGATCGTTATATAAAAAGGAAGGAACGACCATACTTTTATCATAATTTCCGCTCGATCGCTTCAATGCCAAAAATTTCTCTCTTTCTAGTAATTTGGAATAAACCCATCCATAGCGAACTGCTGGACAAACAGAAAATAATTTACCAATTATTTGAGCAAATAATCGAATTTTGCAACGGCTAGTCCTCAGAAGAAATTTTACCTGTTTTCGAAGTTGAGGTTTTTTGTCTTCCGGTATAAAAATAGACATATTTCTGGAATCATAATTAAACCCTAAATAACGGCATGTTTGAGAAGGCGTTAGCATACTTTTCTGATAATTTATAACAAATCCCAAATCCTTAAGAGTTGCCATAGTTATTGATACATTAATTTTGCATTCGTCAAAAGTTCTTCCCAACAGCAAAAAATCATCTAGATATAACACTGAAAGTAATCCTTTTCCTCTCAGGAAGGAAAGAACAGGTTTCATCAATTTAGTGAAAATAAACGGGGCGCAGTTAAGTCCAAAAGGCATGCAGTTATATTCAAATAAATCACCATCAAACGTAAATCTTAAGAATTTTTTATATTTTTTGTCAATGGCAACTAAATAGTATGCATTTTTAAGATCCAGAGTGGACATGAAAAAAATTTTTCTGCATGATAGTACATACTGTTCTCCGATCCTCCAGTTTAAAATGTTCTGCTCTAATATATTTATTAAGAGACTTTAAATTTAAAATAAGACGTTTAGAGCCGTCAGGTTTAGGTACTAAAAAGATATTTGAGATGTATTCCCCTGTACAATGTTTTACCTTACTAATAGCACCAGAAGCTAGTAGCTCTAGAACTGATTCCCTTAAAACAACTCTTTCCGAATGTGACCAATGTCTTTCCAAGGGCCGCGCCTTCTGTTTGGGTTTAACAATAAAGGGGATCTCTAGTCCCGAGATCCAAGATAGAATCGTTTTATCTTCCGTAATTTTTTCCCAGACTGGTAAAAATTTACGCAACCGGCCTACCAAACTACCCACCTCAATACAGTCTAGCGTGTTCGTCTGTGATTGGGACGAACTTCCTGTCGACGACGACGATCTTGGTCCGTTGTCTTTCTTTGAGGAGGGTACGGTCTTGTTTGAAACGNAGACATATTAGAGGCAGAAACAGGAGTTAGGAGGGGTAGAGGTAGACCTAGATTAGATTACTGTTCGCAAATAGTTAAGGATGTGGGCTGTTCTAGTTTTAGGGAATTGCGAAGTTTAGCTCAGGATGGGAAAGAGTGGAGGTACGTGTCCAACCAGTCTTAGGACTGATGACCTTTTGATGATGATGATGAATTAATTTTTGGAATACGGTGAGCGGTGCTAGGAATAAGGATGTATGAAAATAAATAAAAGTAAAACGAAAATACTGGTATGCAAGGGTCAAAAAAGTGGGGAAAGAGCGAATATAAAGATAGGAGATGAAAAACTAAAAGAAGTAGCTGATTTTAGGTATCTACGAAGTCAGATAAATCAGGACGGACGGAGTAGTAGTGATATAAAGCAGAGGATAGTGCTGCGTCGTGACGCCTTCAGTAAGAAGAAGTCACTTCTGTGTTCGCGAACGGTTAATTTAGAAATTCGAAAAAGGTTGTTAAGGGTGCATGTTTGGAGCACGGCACTGTACGGGTGCGAAACATGGACAGTGGGCGCGGCAGAAAAGAAAAGGATAGAAACGTTGGAAATGTGGTGTTACAGGCAAAGGATGAGGATACCGTGGATAGAGAACGTTAGAATGAAGAGGTATTAAAAAGAATAGAACAGAAGACTAGAGAAGTCGAGAAGAAACAGGCGAGATGGGTTGGTAGAACACCTTCCCAGGCATGAAGGTCTAGTCAAAGACATTTTAGGGGCAGCAATGGGAGTTAGGAGGTGTACAGGTAAACCTAGATTAGATTACTGTTCGCAAATAGCTAAGGATGTGGCAAGTTCTAGTTTGAGGGAAATACGAAAATTAGCTCAAAATTGGAAAGAGTGGAGGTGCGTGTCCAACCAATCTTAGGACTGATGACCTTATGATGATGGTCTTGTATGAATGACCACAAGGTAAAATAGTGAAAGCCTTATCTATTTCCAAACATAAACCTAACCTGTCCTATCTCGTTTTCTTCCATATCTCTGTTCTCCTATTCTTCCTTTTTTAATACCTCTCCATTTACTCGAAGCATACATAAAAATTGAAATATGTTCCTAATTGAACGTATTTAGATGCTTTAAAAAAAAAAGAAAAGAGAAAACGACAACTGTATTATACGTAATAAATAAGCGACTTAAGGATGACTGACACAACAATTCAGTTCAAATGACCCCAGTGATTTATGCTGGTTATAAACGTGAACTTAATAATTCCCGAACAGGCAACGTCAAGAGGTTGTTTGGTGACGCTTTCGCAACACGAAACGGTCCGACAAAGGTCAAACCATCGCCATCGTCGGTAATTTATTGCTAAAGTTCGACTCTGCCATGTTGGCAAGCAACGTAATTCCATTAAGGTTAATAAGCGATACATTTTTGTTACTGTATTATATTCGCTTGCACACAAATGATCGTTAGTTCCAAAACTGTCAACGTTATAATAACAAAAGGACATCTTTTCAACGAAATAAGTTCACAAAGTTAATTTATTAACCTTTTTCTATGCATTATATTTATAGAAGAAATGATGATTTAAATTATAAGGTCGTCAGTCCTAAGACTGGTTGGACACGCACCTCCACTTTTTACTATCCTGCGCTAATCTTCGTAAAGCTGGAACTCATATCCTTAACTATTTGCGAACAGTAATCTAACCTAGGTCTACCTCTACCCCTCCTAAGTTCTGCCTCTAATATGTCTCTGACTAGACCTTCATGCTTGAGAAGATGTCCTACTAACCTATCTCACCTATATCTTATTCATTTCCATAGAGTCCTCTGTTCTCTTACTCTTTCTAATACCTCTTCATTACTAACCTTCTCTATTCACGCTATCCTCATCATTCACCTGTAACACCACATTTCGAAGGCTTCTAACCTTTTCTTTTCTACCGGGCCCGCTGTGCATGTTTCGCACCCGTACAACGCCGCGCTCCAAACATACACCTTTAACAACCTTTTTCGGATTTCTAAATTAATCGTTCGCGAGCATAGAAATTACTTCTTTTTATTGAAGGCGACTCTACCCTACGCTATCCTCTGCTTTATATCCCTACTACTCCTTCCGTCCTGACTTATCTGACTTCCTAGATAGCTGAAATCGGCCACTTCCTCTAATTTTTCGTCTCCTATCTTCATATTCGCTCATTTCCTACTTTTCCTTCTCTTGCATACCAGTATTTTTGTTTTACTTTTATTTTTTTCGAGTTCAAATGATTATTATTATAATGAATTACAAACTACGACATTCCTTCCAGCATGATTTGACATGTAGAAGATTGGGATGTCGATGCATACTTTGAGTTTTCAAACATTTCATGTGGACTTAAAATATAAAAGGAGACTATGACGAAGAACCTAAATGAACAAACCAAATGGACTCACACATTCTACAAGTTCAATTATTACATCCTTTTTTGAATGCCTTCCCTGTATTTCCACATCCTAAGCTTGTCCACATAGCTTTATCGCCTTTATTTCTTACTGTTTTTTTTGGAGATAACAAAGTATGTTTGATCTTTAAACGCTACCCTTTTCATTTGGTGGAGGAAGGTTACGTTTTTTCCAAACCTCAATAAAAATTTTCAAAAACATTCCACCCCTTCTAAAATTATTTACCGACCTCTGCCCTATATAATGTATCCTACGATGAAACCTATTGATTGTTTAATTGTTTCCTTTGTCTAAAGTATCCTTAAGTAAATTAAAAACCTCTCCCTTTCGCCTTTCTTCCCAAATGAGTCTACAGCACGCAGTAACTTCCAAATGCTCAATCACCTCCCTTACCCTTCGACCCAATTTGGAGAGTTTGTTATTCAAAATAGCCCTCATTCCTCTCTTAAACAAATTTCTGACTGTCAGTTCCTAGAATATCCTTGAGATATCTAAATTGGCATTCCTTCAACGTGTACTCTATATCAACTGCTTCCAGTTCCTATCTCCGAATATACTTACTATTAGGATTATTCCTTGCTACCCCTAACGCCACTTTAACACCATTACTGCATACCGAAAATGATTTAGTTCAATTCCGCTTTCACACAACTCTGTTTGATTTTCTTGTACATATTTCAAATATGTGTAGGCAGATGCCTAGTCTCGTACAACACCCTGAATTTTTTACAATGTCATTAAACTCCCAGTACGTGATACATACATTCGGACGTATGTACGTTGGTGTGTATTACAGTAGTTACATTTATAGCTCTAATAGTATATTCAGAAACACACACGTAATAATTATTCAAATGATAGAAACAGCAGATGTTTTTCATCACATATGCATACATTTAAACGTCACACATACACACAAATATGTGCAGAGTATTAGACAAAGCAACTTTGCGGTGGTATGTATCGTAATGCCTTCACAAAATCCTTGATTCGAAAACCAAGTTTGATTTAAATGCGAAACAATTATTTTTTATAAACTAGGCATATGTATTCCTTACAAATTAAATTAAGAAAAAAAAAGTAAATTGTCGTGAAAGGTAAAAGGCAACGGGGGATTTTCCACGGCTTCGGATTTTTCAAAAATTTCTATAAAACTCAATTTCTTTAGCTGGCTGCTTTGGCTGATTATATTACAACAAAAATAACTTATTTTTTATAACTCATCTCTGTAAGTACTTATTCTAACTTCTAAACGAAACGAGATATCGACTAAAAATTGGCATACAGTGGAACCTGTTTATGTCAAATCTCAAAACCTCCATTACTCGAAACCTCAACCCTCTAATAGTCGAAATAATCAGTGAGTCCCTGCAAGCCATTTTGGTACATATTTTCCTTCTATAACACGAAAAAATTAAATTGGACCTTTGTATCTCGAACATAGAAATGTTTTATTTTACAACCTTTTTAACTCGATAATTTGAAACTTATTACGCCTACGGTTTAAAGAAAACTAAGTTATCGACTTTAAGGATTTTCCAATGTAAGTACCTATACCAAATCTACAAGTCGAATCAAAATCCACCAAAGTTAAAAGCTTAATAACTCGAATTTTTTGGCGTCTCCCTTTATATTCGAGTTATAGAGGTTCTACTGTATTATAATACGTTAATCATCCTTAACCAAAAATCGCATTTAACCATAAAAAAGGGGGACGGCAAGTTTAATTCTACCTATGTTTATGAGATATTACCGCCAAAAACAGCTTTGCAGGGAAATAACGAATATATTTTTTTTCCCAACAGTTCAAAAAATGCAAATTATGTACAATACCAGATACTCATATGGAAAGAAGTTATCTATCAGTTATTTCAAAAATGTTTAAAAACAGCAGTCTAATCGTAAGATAAAGAATTAAAATTTAATCTACATCAAATAGTCAAGTTAAGAAAAGTAATTCTTTATCATCATGAATTCGACAACTTCTTGACTGTTTACTTTATGATGTAAGGTACTACCCAAAAGTAAAACAGTGAAAAAATGACCTCTCATCCTAGTAAAATATAACGTTTCCGTCGAAAACGTAATAGAAATTCCTGTTAATTAAATTGAAATAACCATGTATGGTATTTCCACAATAAATATTGACAAATATTTTAATAACGATGGCATTTCAAGATAATACTAATTCATCAATTGATTCATATGAATAAAACAAAAAATTAAGTTTTCCTGTCGTACATCAGAATATTGTACAATTCCCAACTATTTTGGATAAATTGTCCGTTCAAGTCAATGTACGAGGGTGGATTGATAAGTTTCCGGCCTGACCAAGAAAAATAAGGTTTTTAAAAATTTTTTTTTTTTATTTCTCAACATAATCTCCTCCAAGGCTGATACATTTCTCATAGCGGTGTTCCAGTCTATTAATGCCATCTCTATAGACTGATTCGTCAAGCTCCTCAAAATAACCATTTAC